TACACGACAGTGCTGAGTGACCAACGCATGGTGGAATTGATCCCCAACGGCAGCAGCACCGTGGTGCGCTACGAGGACCGCAAGGAGTTCATTCGCCTGGTGCGGAAGGCTCGACTGGAGGAGAGCAAGGAGCAGGTAACGCTGTCCCATAGCATCAGTGGTCGTTGAGTTCTCAGAGACGTACCCCTGCCAGTCTGCTTCTGGTAAAATGCATCGTGGTTAGTGTCCCTGTGCTCATTAGTGCAATAGTAGGCAGTCCTCTTTGGCGAGGTCCTGGAGCCCGTGGAGTTGTTGAGAAGCAAAGTGGCTTGTAGCAGCATGGCAGACATGGGGTTTTATTCCCAGCTCTGACACAGGCTTCCTGAATGAACTGGGATGCATCTCTGTGGGATCCTGTGCCCTTCTTCAGGTTCCTTAGAGCATTTGCTGAGCAGTCACATGGCTTGTGTCCAGTCAAGTCCCTAGGCTCAAGCACGAGCCAGGGAAATGGGCAAGACATGCTGCTTAACTGCCCCATCTCCTTTTCAGATCATGGCCATGCAGGCTGGGCTGCTGAAGGTGGTGCCCCAAGCTGTTCTTGACCTCCTCACCTGGCAGGAGCTGGAAAAAAAAGTCTGTGGAGACCCTGAAGTCACAGTTGATGCCCTGAAGAAGCTCAGTAAGTGAAGGGCTCTGCTGAAAACTCCTTCCCTGAAAACAAGACCATCTTCTCTCTCTGCTGGGACAAGGAGAGATGTGGGAGGCCCATATTAGCCTTTATTACAGTGGGAATGTGGGCCTGTATACTTCTTGCCTTTAGCTGGGTGCTGATGGGGGCAGGGGTGTCCCTTGTCTCCATGCTGGGCCTCAGTAGAGGCTGCGGCATCCCTAGGCTGCCAGTATCTGAGTCTCTGTGGAGCCGAGATGTCGATCTGGATGTGCTTTCTGGGAGGGGCCTGACTGCATGTGTCCCTCGCACCTTGGGTCTATGTGCTCACACCCTGCAGGCACCTAGAGGTTTCTTCCTGCGCTGGCAGAGGACCTGCTTGTAATTTGTCCAGGAGGAGCTTGGATCTTTAATAAACTCCTTTTCTATATCCTTTCTCCCAGCCCGGTTTGAGGACTTTGAGCCATTGGACACCCGTGTTCAGTACTTCTGGGAGGCACTCAACAACTTCACCAATGGTGAGTGATTTGCTCTGTCCCTGCACATCTTGTGCCATGACAGCCCCTGCATGCTGGCAGGGAACTGAGAGGGGAAACCACCCTCATTGCTGCCTGGGGAACAGATGGGAGTCAAGAAGAGGAAGCAGCTGGGCTGAAGGAACTGCTTGCTAGCGCCAGGGAAACCTGAAAGTGCCTGTACTCCATCTCACATCCCTCTAGGGTCTGCTGATGTCTTTTGCTTTTCCTTCACAGAGGATCGCAGCCGCTTCCTCCGATTTGTCACTGGCAGAAGCCGCCTTCCAGCACGGATCTACATCTATCCAGACAAGATGGGGTGAGTCCATTCTTCTGTAGACTGCAAGGCTGACAGGTCCCACACCAAAGGGATGTGTGATCTGGTCTCTGCCTCACTGGCCTGCTGGTTCTGACCAGTTTGTCACCTTCTCCCCAAGCTCTGAGACAACAGATGCTTTGCCGGAGTCATCCACCTGCTCCAGCACCCTCTTCTTGCCCAACTACGCCACGTAAGTTTTGGTGCTTCCCTAGGTGCTGACCCATAGGGCCCTATTGCCACACTTACGTCCCCCTTGCTGTACCGTGTGGCTTCTGTGATTCTCTCTGTGAGCAGCTGGTGAAGCATAGCCTCCATCTCGGAAAGCATCTTGTCCTCTCGGCTGGCAAATGCAGCAATGGCAACTCCTCCTTGTCTTTTTTTTTTTTTTCCCCTCACCTCCTGCCATCCCTAGAGCCAAGGTATGTGAAGAGAAGTTGCGCTATGCCGCCTATAACTGCGTGGCCATTGACACAGATATGAGTCCGTGGGAAGAGTGATGTTGCAGCCTGACCAAGCAGCATGGACAATCGTTGGACAAAACTGTGCAGTGGGAAGAGATCCCTTGTCCCCCCAGGATATGTATATATATATAATAAACATATAGGTGTGAAGCCTGGCTCCCAGCAGTGGTAACCAGCACCTCTTTGGACATGGATGTTTGGGTCTTCAGCAGGGTGGGAGCTAGCTTGGAGCGTAAATGTGATTGCAATAATGAAACCCTGGCCCAGCCCTCATACATCAGAAAGGTCTGGTAGGTTTTTGTAATGAGTTTCTTCTCCACACGTCCTTGTTGCAGCTCTACAACTCTCGCTTCTCCCAGGCTGTGCTCTGCTCCGAACAGAAGTGGGGTAGGGCCACAAAGCTGCACAGCAAGTTAGAGCACAGGAGGGAGAACTGTGAGCTGCCCCTGAGACTGCAGGGATGCTCAGAGATGCTCAGTGTGTCCTAGCCTGCGTGTCCTGACCCCATTCCCTTGCCTTGTTCCTGCTCTCACCTGAGGTCATGGAAATGAGATCATTCATCTAGATTTAAGAAGAAATGGGGCAGGCTGGTGGCAAGTGCTGCAGGGGTGCCGCTGGCCACCAGGTGTCACAACAGACCTGCACAGCAGGACTGTGGGTGCTGTCAGGAAAGGGCTCACATGCTCTTACATCGCACAAATTCCCATTTCCTCTGACCACCCGTGGTTCCCTGCACCCCTTGCACAGCAGCAGCTGCTGGGGGAGCTGCTCCCCTACAGGAGACAGGAACTGTCTGCTTCCCTCCTGCTCTGTGACCTTCACTTCTGCATCCGGCATGCTGGTGGCCTAGCAGCTGTTCTCCCAGGCTCTTTGAGCCTTGGTTTTCCCCTAAAAGCCAGTATTACAACTAATCTATTCTAGTTCTCATGGAGATGTGCAGGCGGGGCCAAGCTCTTCTCCCAGACAGCAGGGCTTAGAGCAGCGCTGGGATCTGGTCCTCTCTGCCGTGGGGAGGTAGGTGGAGGTTTCAGGTGGACAGGGAAAGCCTGGAAAGCCCCAGGGGAGCAGAGAGAATGTGGGTAACAAGCATTGGAGCTCCTTGAGCAGATGGACACGCAGTGTGTGAGCAAGGAGCGGGCAATGTTCCTTGCTCTTCCCAGCCCTGGGCAGGGCTAGTCATTGCCTACCACTGTGAGCTACCAGATGTCAGCCCACTTTTATACACCCAGCGCCATCTTCAGCCTGTGTGGTCTGTTAGACCACCACTGCTAAGAGCTATTGAGTCACAGGGGCTTCACTGGAGTGGGGCTAATGCTGTGAGTTGGGATTTATCCTGTCTTAATGCTTCATGCCTTTTTTTCCTCTGTTGAAGGAGTCTGTCATCCAGAAATCACTTCCAGGTGTAAACAAAGTCCTTCCCTTCACCAGTTTCCTTTGAAACTGCTGTATTCCCAGACCTGCTGAGGGGGTTTGTACTAAAGGGGACACAGGACCAGGAGAGGGCATGTGCTGCCATCTCCCATCGCGGTGAGTGGAAGGAGTACAGGGTGAGCAGGGAAGCCGTTTCTGGCAGCCCTTGCCTGCAGCAGAGCCTTGTGTGCTCAGCTGGGTGGGTGTGAGGTCCCGTCTGCTGGAGGAGGCTTTTTGTAAATCCTAGAGTTATCTCAGAATTGACCTCTGTGGCTTTGTGGGTGATTTCAATGACCAGCATGGACAGGAGCAGAGCCAGTGTGATACCCTTCCGTGCTGGTGGTTGAGTCACTTCCTAGACTGTCTGTTTTAAATGGGCATGAGCGAGCTAGTCAAAGGACTTTGCTCTGCTGTCTTGGCCTCGGTCAGGAGTGTTGGTGAAGGAGTCTTCAGCATCAAGATGGGATTTGAAATGAGCCATCCTAGCTCCTTTCTGGCCACTGAGATTTAGGTGGAATCGATCCTGCTTTTTCCAGCCTTGCCCACTTGTCTCTAAGGGAGATCAGCAGGAGGTCACATTACTTACTGAGCAGAACTAGAAGGAGCAAGAAAAATTGACTCCTCTCTGGTGTTTTATTGCCGGGCAGGGGACGGTTGGTTCGTAAGTGGCTCAGGGCAGGATGGATAAAATGGCCCTAGTCTTTGGTGGAGGCTGAGCTGATGTCACCTGTGGGAATGGGCAGGCTAAGAGCCAACTGGGGCTGCTTGGGGTGACGAGCTGTGGGGGAATGGGCACCTCTGGCTGAGACATCTCCAACAGGTGACCACTGGCTCCCCTGGCCTTGGTGGAAGCAACTGCAGCTGACAGAGGGTAACTGAGGTAATTACAGAGGTACCCAGAGCAGCTCTGTTTTCTTTCTGAAGGATGAGATGCTTGGACAGCTCTATTCCCTCTCATTGTCCATGTACACAGTCCCAGCCCCCTGTGATGAAGGGAGAGCTGCTGTGCAGAGCAATGCTGGGAGCAGAGCCTGGCTGAAGCGGTGGGATCCTTCCCTAGAAGAATTGTGGCATCTCCATCCTTGGAGATGCTCAAGACTTGTCTTACAGCCCTGGGCAATCTGGTCTAACTTCCAGTCTTGCCCTGCTAGCTTCAGGTCTAGGTCCTCCCTCACCTGAAGGACTTGATGACTGTGGAGTTATGGAGTCTAGCTTTTCCCACATTTCCCACATTTCTGTACTCTTCCTCGCAGCAAGGTCTTTTAGCCCCTGACCTCTCACACCCTTGGGTTTATTTCCTGCCACTGAGAAAAGAGTGCTGCCCCAGGGCTTGCTGGAGCTCTGGTGTGAGAACTGGAACTCTGGGGAAAGGATCTAGCTGGTGATGGGGATTTCTATTTAAAAAATACTTGGCAGTAACAGGACCCTGGCCCTAGCAGGAAGGCTGCAGTTGGGAGCTCATCCAGGGTGATCTGGGTTTAACCCTTACAAGCATATTGAGAAAAACATTGGTTTACCATATATACCATGGTCTTACTGTTCATTTTGTGTTATGGCCATATATGTGTTGGAGAATGGCAGCAGCCACTGCTGCAGTGTTATACTGGGGTGTAGAGACCTGTGAAAGCCCTTCCAGGTGCAGGAAGAGCCCATTGCTGCAGCGAGGTCTCAGCTGAGATCATTTAGTGCATGGTCAGAGGGTCTGGACAAACGTGGCTGCTGGGCAAGGATGCCAGGATAACCCACGGATCATGCTGTTGAGTTTGCTGTGCAAAGGTGAGCTGGGAAGGGGGAGCCGGTAACCCGCCTGGATCTCCTCCATGTGGTCCTCGGTCTCATCTGTGGTTTTTTAAAGCCAATCACAAAATGAATTTCTCCTGTGACAGCCCAGCAAGTTGTGGAAAAGGTCAGCCTGGCTCAGCTCTGTCCAATCTCAGGGGCCCAAAGTAGGTGTTATTTCAGCGCTGGGTTATGTTCCTTCTCCTCTGATCTCTAAAGCTGCAGATAGGAGCTGTCTCCTACCATATTTGACAAGACACAAGTCAAGTGCCCTTGCCCTGGACTCCTGCTGCACGTGGCCCGGGGCGAGGGAGCCCTCCTGGGCAACCAGGCTGCACGTTCCCCACCCAGTCTCAAGTTGGTCGCGATTGATTTTCGAGCCAGTGCCGTCCTGAGGAAGGTGCTGGTGCCTGTCTGCTGCTGAGAAGAGGAGGCACCTGTGTGTGCTAGAGCTGCAGCTTTACAGGGTGGGACAAGCTGGGGGAGGCACTGATGCTGTGACGGCTCTGTGTAACCACTCGCTCTTTCCTGACTTCAGCTTGCTGAACTGTCATAGAATAGCTTCAGGTGATTAATAACGCACGTGTAGTCTAGCTGTTCTTGTTATTCCACTAATACCCTGGAGTATGATGAACTATAAATAGTTTGACAGGATCTGTCTGTCCCTACCTCATGTAGGATCTAAAATAAAGCGGACGAACTTACTGCTCCTGGCCTTCCTGATGGTTTGTCTGGCCTGGCTGGGGCTCCTGCGTCCTCCTGTTGGGTTAAACAGCCATGGGGACTGGTGTCATGAGAGGCAACTGGAGGTGAAGCGAAATTGGCCCTGTGATACCCTTCGCACACAAAGCGGCATCAGGGAGGTGGCTCAGAGCGTTAACTGGCTCAACCCTTAGCAGCAGCTCTGCAACCAGTTTTATAGGGTGACGTGGCTGCGGAGGGAGGGCGCGGCACGCTCCTGGCTGCGGTGGCTGCAGGTAGGAGCAAGGCAGAAGTTTGCATTTCTCTCGCACCGTGGTCCAGGGCACTTTGCTCCTGGCAAGGCCGGTGACCTTTGAGCTCTGCCAGCCCGGTTGTTTCCTGATGCCTAAACGCGGCTCTTTGTGCCCAGCCTGGAGAAATTCAGGTAGCATGGGGTGGAGCTGAATTGCTCCCTGCCACCGCCTCGCTGTGGTATGCGACAGGCAGGCATGACGTGGGGTGAACACTGCCAGTGTTCTGGGGTGGTTGGGTGCTGCTGGGCGTCACGGCCTTGTTCCAGCTGCCAGAATGCCATTGCTGGCTGGGATAAAGCTGCTCCTGGCCAGGGAAACCCATCATCCTCCCCAGCGGGTGCCTGGAGCCTCCCCACCTGCTGCAAGCCTGCCCGGGGCAGGAATCTGTCCCCCAGCCAGCCAGGAGCCGGCTCTCCCCACAGCAGGATGCCCACTCCCCTCTTTTCCCTATCCATGCCGGAGATGCAGCCCTGTGGCCTGATCCCTCTCCGTTTGCAGGGATGCAGGCAGCGGCAGGGACGCTGGAGGCCAGGAGGGAGCGGAGTCCTTAAGCCACGGGGCGAGGGGGTGCGGGTGACCCGAGTCAGCTCCTGCCGGGGACCGAGGGACCGGGGTGGACGAAGCTGGGGTGACGGGGGCACCGCACCCCGCTGGGGAGCGGGGGGACTGCGGCCCCCGAAGGGCTGGGGCGTGGCGGGGCCACGGGCGGAGCGGCGCCCGCCCCGGGCGGAGGC